GTTCTTCATAAATTAAATACCCGAACGGGTACCCGAATCGAGAACCGATGGGTTTGGGTCGGGTCTCGGGTCTAGACCAAGAACCGAAGAACCGAATAAGAACCGAAACTAAATAAATTTTTTATTTTTTATATTGAATTAATTAAATTATTTTATTTTTTTTATACAAATTAGCAAATTAATTAAATAAATTAGATTATTTCATAATTTTAATTTTAAAGCCCAAATCATTTTTAAAATCCATTAGCCCATTTTAATTTGAAGCAAATGAATATGCTTTATGTAGTTTTGCTGTAATATTAATATCTACTTTTTAGTATTTGTGTGTATTGAATTAATTTTATTGGACGGCTAGTTATGTATACGTTTTTAAATTGGGCTATCTTAATTTGTAAAAGTTACGAATGAAATGTCATTTGTTGTATTTATGTAGTGTTGTTGAAAATATTAAAAAATTTAATTATGGTACGGAACCGAACCGACCCGAACCGAACCGAACGGAACCGAACCCGAACGGTTCCATAATTATATTTGGACCCGACGGTCCATTTATTAAATACTCGAAAGTTTTGGGTCGGTTCGGGTCTCTTCAGAACCGAACCGAACCGACCCATGGACAGCCCTAGTTTTGTTATTTTGATGTAACTTAAGTGACCATTTATGAAATTAACCCCATTGCAATAGATAGAAATTTAACATATTTCTCTTTTATACAATGTTTCGCTAAACGATTAGTAATCCTAAGCAGTGTGTTCGAGCTTCAACCTCCAATGTCCTCTGAAGAGCTTCTTACATTTCTTTGATGGTGGAAATACATCTTATGCATTTCTCTTTTGCAACCAATACCATTATGATCGAGAAATAAGTAATAGATAATTTAGTTGAACTCTAATTAAAATTTGAAACTCGAGTGACAAATAGATATTTCAATTAGAATAATGCCTTCTAGATCCTGTTATATTACGCACCACTCTATGCCTTATAGACTGGTGATTACAATCATTAGGGTCAAATAACATTACTTCTTGAATTACAATGATATATTGCAATGAGATAAATTGATTTGACATTTGAATTGTTGAAAATGAATTGAATTTTTTTACCTTTGATTTGTTGATAATAAATTGATCTCCAAAAGTTGTAAAGCAACTAGAAAGGGCAGAAGCAAATAACTATCAATTACCATCTTCATTGTATAAACTCTTTCAAGTTGAAAAAAATTGCTTCAAATTCACTATTTACTTGCCCCAAAATTTGGTTTGCACAATACCGAAGTAAGAAAATTTCGAGTTATATGGGCCATAGAGAACAAACACGCAAATGGTAAACAACTCTTCTACTATGAAAGAATAAAAAAGTTCCAAATGCTTCTCGAAATTCTTGCTCCCACAACTGGTAAGATGATCAAGAATCGTTTCAACTCCATCGATCCTTCGGTGGCCTTGCTGCCTTTTTTTAAATTTCAAATCATTCTCTTCTCGAACACTTTATATCTCTCCTAACACCTTCGATACTGTTCAATCTAACAAACCCAACAAAATATAACTAGAGCTTGTTTGGGAATGATTAAAATCCAATTAAAATTGAAAATATAGTCGTTATTGAGTCTCACTCGTCTAATAAAAGTCAACTATAACGGCTATATTTTCAATTTTAATCTGATTTTAATCCCTCCCAAACAAGCTCTTACCCAAAAAGGCTAGACAGGCCAAGCAATTTGCATTAACTATCAATTCACCCCACAATTAAAAAAGAATTGTATAAATAAATACATACACCTAACTAAGCCTCTGTTTGGTATACATTAAAATTTTCATTCACATTCTTCTACTCATTTTCAACCACACTTTTTTAATAAAATAATATTTTCCATCACATCAATAATTTTTCCTTCTTTTTCAATCACAAATTTTTTATCAATCTACTAATTCAGAATACATTCTTTCAAAATAACGTGGATCAAACACACCCACACTATACAAATCAACTGCAAAAACCTCTTTAAATGCCCCATTGCAGCCTCCGTCATTTCTCACCATCGTACCAGTAAATGCCTCACCAACCATTTATGGTTCCCCGGTGACGCTTTAATTTCCTGTCCACATGTCACTAATCTTCACCGTCTGTTAAATCTCTCCGGTGATAATAGCGCCTCTGGATCACCACTCCTTAGCCGGCTTGATGAAAATGGCCCAGTCGCTGTAGCAGATGATCTTATGAACATTGGACTCGCAAACGACTTACTTCTTCTCGATGAGCCGCCGCCTCCGCTGGATAAGCCGAGCCGCACGCTAGACTCGGACAATGGGAAGAACCCGCCGCCGGAGCGGCGGCGAAGAAACGGAGATTTCATTCCTCTGTAGTATCGGAATGAGAATACCCTAGGTTTTGTTAATGAAGTGAATGGTGAAGGGCGTTTATTCCAGAAGCTTCCTCCGCTGCCTCTTCTGTACCGCCAAGGGGAGGTGGTTGCCGGTTCTAACACTAATCTTTCTGATCCTAAATTTCTTTCAAATCCAAATGAATAAGATCGTTTTAACGAAAAATCGCGGCGGTTGAATCGGTCCTCGGATTGATTGTTTAGTTGAGGCGAGGGTTCCCGAGTGATTTCGCCGACGCTGGTTGAGTCAGGTTCCATCAGAAACTCGGTTAGAGGCTCGAGGATTGTGCTCTCCACGATGATGTCTTCGAGGCTAGGGCGAATTCTCGCAGCCATCAGTGGTGTGAACGGAGATTGAGGGCGGAATATTCCGGCGCGGCACAGAGGGCAATTGGCGTGTGACCGGAGCCATATATCTATGCAATCCACGTGAAATGAGTGAGAACACACCGGAAGAGTACGAATATAATCATTTTCTTCGAATTCTAACAAGCAAACTGCGCAATCGTGGAGTTCTCTCTTTCGTGTGTAGACAGATAGAGGAATTGTTTTGATGACCGATTCGTCGAGTCCGTACGGAGAGAGAACGTGGAAAGCAGCGTCAGTAGGATCGAAGGAGTAAGACGGGGAATCAATGTCCCTGGCGGAGGAAGAGGGAACGTAGTGTCGGAGCCGGCGACGGAAGCGCCACCTCTTATATCGGCGATAGAGATTGTGAAAGTGGCGGAAGAGGAGCCGCGAGTAAGTTATGATTACAAAAGCAGTTGCTATAACAACCACCATGGCAATCAGAGGCGGACTAAAGTACACCGGTATCTTCTGTGGAGGCGATGATAACTCTTCCGCCGATGAGTTTACAAAAGTCTCCGGCGACGGTGAATGAGATGGAGCCAATTTAGTATAGTTTCGTTCATGAGGCGCCGGCGCCGGCGAAGGCGAAGACTCTGGTGCAGGTGATAGGAGTAGGTGATGATGGTTGACCATGGAGGCGGTGGAGAGAAATAGGCTCGGGGCCTCGGGCGGTGGTGGTGAAGGGGTTTAATGGAAATTTTGAATGTGTAGTTGACTTCTGTTGTTGGAATTGGTGGGCAATTGACACGTCCTTTTTGGCTGAAATTAATGCCACGAGGTTAGTTTTAATATGATGTTGTACAGTTTTGTCCACAGTGAGCGAATTTATGGAGGGATTGTTTGAGCAATAATTTTTTTAAAATTTACTTTTTTTTTTCATTTTTATTTATATATCCTCAAATAAAATAATATTATATGTGAATCGAAATTTTTAATCATATATTCTCCAAAAATTACTGTTCAAAAAGTACATTTTTCCTCTCAAACGAGGGCTAAGTGTACAGTGTGACGTTTTGAAAGATATTCACATGGCCTTTACGATCTGTTGAATTACATAAAACACGGCACGTTGGACTAGTAGGCTGGCAATCAGGCTATGGTCACAACGCAAACTAATTTTAGGTGTGATGCATGACTCGTGTCGAATTGCCTAACACATTTTGAAACTTCATTAAAAATTGAAACTATAATAGCTCAATGTCTTGTTTACTTGACAAAATTTGATTTGAATGATTGTCCTAACTTGGTGTTGCAAATAATTATTTCCTATATTTTTTGTAATACTTTTTACTTTCTTTTTTGTTGACGTAGGAATTCGCAATCGCTATCCGCCAGCGGAGCCCCGACCACCTCGAAGGGCGGATATCCGACTACTGTGAATACGCAATAGGTAAACCCCGCTACATATCCAATAGCCCACAAACCACACAAAATTTACTGTTTTTACTTGTTAGCAGAGAGTGTCAAGTAAAATTTAACAATAAAAGCTGGTTGAATTTCTCTACTATTTTTCTTCTTCTACCCTATTAATTATTTATAACTTTGTAAATAAAAAATATATAAATTTTAACTCAATATTTTGGATGATCAAGTCTTGGATTAAACTCTTGTCACAACTCACTTCATAAAAATTTCCCATTTTAAAAATTAAAAAAAATATTGGAATAATGATTACCATTGAACGAATATGTTAAATATATAAACAATCATGCTACATGTACATTTTCTTTAACATGAAGTTGACATTCAATGAAGTGACAACAATCATGACCTTTAATTTTAAACACACTCCATCAATTCATTGATTAAATTTCATCTACACAAAAGGGTGTCCTCATTAATGTTAACAAGGAATGTGCATCTAGCATTATTCATAAATAAATGTCTACATCCAAATTTTTTATTTGATATAAATATTTGAGTCAAATAAGAAGATAACTAATTCAACTTGGAAATAATTGTTGTATTAATTTATGGATTATACTTCTTGTACATCACCTCTTATACAAGGGGTGACATAATGGCCAAGTGGCGCCTCCTCATTAGAGGGACGCCGAGGCCCCAAATGTGGGCCGTGGCACCCCTCCAATGAGGAGGCGCCATTTGGCCATTATGTCACCCTTTGTGTAAGGGGTGATGTACCCCTAGCAAGACNAATACAAGCAACTTAACAGTTAGTATTAAATATTAATTATTACATAAATAGTCAATCATATGTTTGAAATTTTACTTAATATCTACATAATAATAAAATTTCTACAAGAAGCTGGAATAGCTCAGTTGGTTAGAGCGTGTGGCTGTTAACCACAAGGTCGGAGGTTCAAGCCCTCCTTCTAGCGTGTATATTAATTTTCTGACCCTTTTTCATTTACAGTCACCATAGTATTTTATTTTCTTTTATTAAGACCCTGTCAGGTGCCGATTTTCGCCCAAATTGTAAGCATTTTTTCAATCGTTATAAGTGAATTGACGGCCGCATAAATTGACCAGATTTGACATAATTACACTTTCACCCTTTTGACATTTAATACCTGAAATTGAAAGGAGGGCATTTACGGTAATTCAATTCATTTTTAGTCAAAATAATACAGCTACCCAATTTCCCAAGAATTCCCAACGGCCCCAATCTCCCTTAAAATCTTTTTTTTTTCAAAAGACATTGTTTGGATAATTTTAGACACTACAAGTCTCTAACTATATGAATCGGGCATTACCATTGCAATTTAATTCATAGTTAAATTTACTAAAAATCTAGACAAATTAAGTATCTATTTACATTTCATTTAATGAAATTACAATGAAGAGGAGTAATGTCCCCATGAAATGTGTAAAATAACAAGTAAATAGTAATTGTAACTGTGTGGTTAGAATTAATATTTAATTTTAACTTCAAAATATAATGAGATCATAATGAAATCAAAACACGCACTAGACATTGACACTTAAGGAGAATTAGGTTCCCTCCCCTTTTCATAGGTAATATTCCTAATTCTACATCACACAAGGCAAAGAGTAACGTTGTGTAGCCCTACTGAGATTACAACCCTAGCGTATGTGACGTTAGATATTTATTTAATTTCACATTTTATTTAACACATCATCGAACGTTACCTAAACTGAAGTTATAATTTCAGTAGAACTAAATAACATTTGCTACATGGCAAAAGCAATAGAGAGAGAGAGAGAGACTTTCATCTCGTGGATTCATAATACAACTTCGTAGATTCTCCTAAAGTGTCACCATAGTACTTTATTTTCTTTTATTAAACCTTTTTTTAAAAAGATATTGTTTGGATAATTTTAGACACTAAATCACAAGTCTCTTAACTATTTAAATCGTGCATTACCATTGCAATTCCTCGTCAAATCTACTGAAAATCTAGACAAATTAAGTATTTATTTATATTTCATTTAATGAGATTATAATGAGAGGAATAATGTTCACATGAAATGTGTGAAATAATAAGTAAATAGTAATTGTGACTGTGTGGTTAGAATTAATGTTTAACTTTAACTTCAAAATATAATGAGATTATAATGAAACCCAAACAAGCACTCTACACTTGAGGAGAATTAGATTCTCTCCCCTTTTCATAGGTAATATTCCGAAGTCTACATCACAAGGCAAAGAGTAATGCTATGTAGCCCCACTGAGATTACAATCCCAGTCTAGGTGTTATTTAATTTCACATTTCTTTTAACATATCATCTAACGTCGCCTAAATTGGAGTTGTAAAGACTAACTAGCATTGCTCTAAGGCAAAAGGCGATAGAGAGAGACAAACTTTCATCTGGGGGATTCATAATACAGCTTCATAGATTCGTCGAGGTACATCAAGTAGAATAACAAATGATTTCTCGATCCATCTGCTGACTTATATTTATAGAGTAGTATAATACAGACACAACTAATTTATCCCATGCTGTAATGAAGTACTAATCTATGCCAACTGTAATGCTTCTTCACGCTTGATGTCAAAAACCTTGATGAGGACATCTTCAACAACCTGGCCAACACCATTTAGTACAAGATGAAATGTTCGGGAATCAAAGAGTGTTGTTTAACGGTAAATATTAAACCTTAAGAAGAAAGCAATGAGAAATAGAAGAAGAATATCATAAACGAATAAAGAACGATCAAATTTACAGTGGTTCACCCTCGATGTAAAGCTACAGATTTTCACTAAATAGGGAAGAAGTTAACAACAGAAATCTCACCCCTCGGTTTTTTATTCATTACACAATGAAAATGGCCCTCCTAAGATACCTTTATATACAGTGTAAATGAAGAGATGAATGCCCAACATAAACCTACTAGGCTCCACAGAATTCAATATTAAAACCTTGAGCTGTTGGATGATGAATTGTGATTATAGAAATTTTTTAATGTCTATCAAGTCTTAAAACAACTATTGATGAGAAGTCGACAAGTCGTGCTTAAAATCATGTTCTTGAGTAAGAATGTGTGTGCATGTACGTGCACGCCTGCCTGCCTGTGCACATGCATCTCATGTGGGACACTGGAGAGGAGCCATAAATGTTCAAAATCCCTTTTAAGTGCTGGGAAAATTTTAGTGACCTGAAAAGGAAAAGGTAAAGATGAAAAGACTGAATAGAGACAATTTACCTTGTCAGGGGTGGATGCACCAGATGTTACACCTACTGTGATAGGGCCCTCTGGTAGCCAGTTCTCTTTCTCGACCAATTCACCATGCTGTTAGATGCAACGCGTGAAAAAATAAGAAAGTGACCTGGGGTTAGTCACGGGAATAGACTGGTTCCAGTGTACTTACCATCAACTTGTAACTTATTTTGTTTCCGGGACCTATTCTCTTCTCACTGTCGATCCAATATGATGGAATTCCACGAGCCTCTGCTATTTCTTGTAGGTGTGAAGTATTGCTCGAGTTCCACCCACCAACCACTAGCACGAGATCCATATGTTGATCGACCAGCTTATACATGGCATCTTGCCGTTCCTAAACATTAAGAATAATGATCTTAAAAAAGAAAGACTTGTCAAAGTCAAACTCAAAATTAACCAATAACAAAACTCAAAGCCATCCCATCCCATATGCAGGAATTGAAACCATATTTTCTGCATCTGCCAAAAGAAATTAAGCCTCTACGAGGAAGATATTTCCAAGAACAAAAGGTCCTAAAAAAGAGCTTCAAGCAGGTTTCTTGAGTTAAACATGCTGGAACGACAAAATAGGAAAATACTCTACTATCTAAAATACTTTTGCATCACTTGAATACATATTTGTGATGTAGTCCGCCTTTTGGCGCACTTCATGATTCCAATGTCTCACAATATGGTTTCTTACATCTAAAACAGCTAACAATTTTGAAACTTCAATAAACAAGACGAAGCCCTCCCCTGCTCAGTGGAAAAATCCCTAAGAAATCATTCAACTGGTTAGCGAACATGTAAGATCCGGTACAATACAAACTCATGCCTGGACAAAGTAAAATAACTATAAAGCATTGTTTCTTGACAATGGAACTCCAATGTTTTACAAAATATATGCAAAGAAACATTATTAAAAGCAAATATTAAAAGACATTGTTTGAAGAGGGGGAATTTACTTGAGTTGCATCACAAATAGTGTTGAAACTTATGAAGTGGTTGT